CGAGCGATAAATGAATAAGGAAATGACTACATTGGAGATATCAAAGGAGTTTCGATAAGACTATATTGAGCGATAAATGAATAAGGAAATGACTATACTGGAGATATCAAAGAGCTTCGATAAGATCATCGAGCGATAAATGAATAAAAATGACCACATTGAGATATCAAGGAGTTTCGATATGACCATCGAGCGATAAAGGAATAAGGAAATGACTACATTGAACAGAAATGAAAGGAGATATCAAAGGAGCTCGATATGATTCATCGAGCGATAAAATGAATAAGGAAATGACTACATTGGAGAGATATCAAAGAGTTTCGATATGACCCATCGAAACGATAAAGGAATAAGGAAATGACCACATTGGAGATATCAAAGGAGTTTTGATATTACCACGAGCGAAAAAACAAGGAAATGACTACATTGAGATATCAAAGGAGTTTTATGCATAACCGAGCGATAAAGGAATAAAGAAATGACTACATTGGAAGATATCAAATGGAGTTCGATATGACCATCGAAACATAAATGTGAGAAATGACTACATTGAGACATTTCTAAAGGAGTTTGATATGACCATCGAGCGATAAAGGAATAAGGAAAAGACTACATTGGAGGGTGGAGTTTCGATATCGAGCGATAAAGAATAAGGAAAATGACCATTGGAGATATCAAAATTTTGATATGCCTATCGAGCGATACATTGGAAATGACTAATAAAAGGAGTTTCGATATGACCATCGAGCGATAAATGTAAGAAATGATCATTGGAGATATCAAAGGAGTTTCGATATGACCAGAGCGATAAAGAATAAGGAAATGACTACTGGAGATATCAAAGGAGTTTCGATATTAACACCGAGCGAAAAGGAATAAGGAAATGACCATATTGGAGATATCAAAGAGTTTCGATATGACCATCGAGCGATAAAGGAATAAGAAATGACTACATTGGAGATATCAAAGAGTTTCCTGATATGACCATCGAGCGATAAATGTGAGAAAATGACTACATTAAGATAATAAAAGGGGTTTCGATATGACCATCGAGCGATAAATGAATAAGGAAATGACTACATTGGAGATATCAAAGGAGTTTGATATGACCATCGAGCGATAAATGAATAAGGAAATGACTACATTGGAGATATCAAAGGAGTTTCGATATGACCATCGAGCGATAAATGAATAAGGAAATGACTACATTGGAGATATTGTAAGGAGTTTCGATATGACCATCGAGCGATAAATGAATAGGAAATGACTACATTGGAGATATCAAAGAATTTCGATATGACCATCGAGCGATAAAAACAAGAAAATGACCATTGGAGATATCAAAGGAGTTTCGATATGGACCATCGAGCGATAAAAAATAAATAAAATGACTACATTGAGATATCAAAGGAGTTTTGATATGACCATTGAGATAAATGAATAAGGAAATGACTACATTGGAGATATATCAAAGGAGTTTCTGATATGACAACTGGAGCGATAAATGAATAAGAAATGACCATATTGAGATATCAAGGAGTTTCGATATGACCATCGAGCGAGAAATGAATTGAAAATGACTACACTAAGAGTTAAAGGAGTTTGATATGAATCATCGAGCGATAAATGAATAAGGAAATGACTACTTTGAGATACTGGCGAAGGTAGAGCTCGATATGACCAATGGGAGCGATAAATGAACAAAGAAATGACCATTGAGATATCAATGAGTTTCGATATGACTATCGACAGATAAATGAATAAGGGAAATGACTGTATTGGATATATCAAAGGAGTTTGATATGGAATTATCGAGCGAGAAATGTGAGGAAATGACTACATTGAGATATCAGAGTTTCGATATGACAATTTGCGATAAATGAATAAGGAAATGATTACATTGAGATATCAAAGGAGTTTGATATGACCATCGAGCGATAAATGAATAAGGAAATGACTACATTGAGATATCAAAGAGTTTGAGATAGGACTAATAAGCGATAAATGTGTGAGGAAATGATCACATTGAGATATCAAAGGAGTTTGATATGAGCATTGAAAAGACAAAGGAATAAGGAAATGACTACATTGGAGAGATCAAAGAAGTTTCGATATGACTAATGAGCGGTAAATGAATAAGGAAATACCATATTGAGAATAAAGGAGTTTCACATGATCTATCAGAGTTGATAAATGAATAAGGAAAATGATCATGCATTGGAGATATCAAAAGAGTTTCGATATGACCATCGAGCGATAAAGGAATAAAAATGACCACATTGAGATATCAAAGGAGTTTGATATGACCACATGAAATGACCATTGAGATAATAAAGGAGCGACAAATGAGCGACAAATAAAATTGGAAATGACTACATTGAAATGACTACATTGGAGATATTTTAGTTTGATATGACCATCGAGCGATAAAGGAACAAGGAAATGACTACATTTGAGATATCAAAGGAGTTTCGATATGACCATCGAGCGATAAATGAATAAGGAAATGACAATACTGGAGATATCAAAGAGTTTCGATATGACCATGGAGCGATAAATGAATAAATGAAGAAATGACTACATTGAGATATCAAAGGAGTTTGATATGACCACGAGCGATAAAATGAATAAGAAAATGACTACATTGGAGATATCAAAGGAGTTTCTGATATGACCAATGAGCGATAAAATGAATAAATGAACATTGGAGAAATGGACGATACATTGAAAGATAAATCAAAAATGGAGTTTTCGATATGACCATCGAGCGATAAAGGAATAAGGAAATGACCACATTGGAGATATCAAAGGAGTTTCTGATATGACCATCGAGCGATAAAGGAATAAGGAAAATGACTACTATTGGATATATCAAAGGAGTTTCGATATGACTAATGAGGATAAATGAACAGGAAACAGACTACATTGGAGATATCAGAAGAGTTTCTGATACTGATATGACCATTGAGCGATAAATGTGAGGAAATGACTAAATTGGAGATATCAAAGGAGTTTCGATATGACCATTTGAGCGATAAAGGAATAATAAATGACTACATTGGAGATATCAAAGGAAAGTTTCGATATGACCAATGAGCGACAAATGAACAAGGAAATGACTGTATTGAGATATCGAAGAAGTCTGATATGACCATCGAGCGATAAAGGAATAAGGAAATGACTACATTGAGATATCAAAGGAGTTTCGATATGACCATCGATGATAAATGTGGAACAAGGAAATGACAACATTGGAGATATCAAAGGAGTCGATATACCATCGAGCGATAAATGAATAGGAAAATGACTACATTGGAGATATCAAAGAGCCTGATGACCATGGAGCGATAAATGAAGAAATGACTACTAAGAGATATCAATGGAGTTTGATATGACCCCGAGCGATAAAATGTGGAGGAAATGACTACATTGAGATATCAAAGGAGTTTCTGATATGACCATCGAGCGATAAATGAATGAGGAAATGACTACATTGGAGATATCAAAGGAGTTTGATATGGATAATGAGCGATAAAATGAATAAAAATGACTAAGCATTGGAGATATCAAAGGAGTTTGGATATGACCATCGAGCGATAAAATGTGAGGAAATGACTACATTGAGAGATACTCAAAGGAGTTTCGATATGACCATCGAGCGATAAAGGAATAATAAAATGACTACATTGGAGATATCAAAGGAGTTTCGATACACTCATCGAGCGATAAAGGAATAAGGAAATGACTACATTGAGATATCAAAGGAGTTTGATATGACAATCGAGCGATAAAAGGAATAAGGAAATGACTACATTGAGATATCAAAGGAGTTTCGATATGACCATCGAGCGATAAACAATAAGGAAATGACTACATTGGAGATATCAAAGGAGTTTCGATATGACTATCGAGCGATAAAATGAATAAGGAAATGATCACATTGGAGATATCAAAGGAGCCTCGATATGACCAATGAGCGATAAAAACAAGGAAAATGACTACATTGGAGATATCAAAGAGTTTCGATATGACCATCGAGCGATAAAATGAAAAGGAAAATGACTACATTGGAGATATCAAAGGAGTTTGATGACCATCGAGCGACAAATGCGAGGAAATGACCATTGAGATATCAAAGCTCGATGACCATCGAGCGATAAAATGAAGCGGAAACGACTACATTGAGATATCAAAAGAGTTTGATATGACCATCGAGCGATAAATGAATAAGGAAATGACTACATTGGATATTTCAAAGGAGTTTCGATATACCATCGAGCGATAAAGGAATAAGGAAATGACTACATTGGTGATATCAAAGGAGTTTCGACCTTCATCGAGCGATAAATGTGAGAAATGACACATTGGAGATATCAAAAGGAGTTTCTGATATGACCACTCGAGCGACAAAGGAACAAGAAATGACTACATTGAGAACAAGGAGTTTCTTGATGGCGACCATCGAGCGATAAAATGAACAAGGAAACACTACATTGGAGATATCAAAGGTGTTTGATATGACCATCGAGCGATAAAGGAATAAGGAAATGACTACATTGAGATACAAAAGAGTTTGATGGTGACCAATGAGCGATAAAATGAATAAGGAAATGACTATAGGAGATATCAAAGAGCTCTGATAAGGACCATCGAGCGATAAAGGAATGAGAAAATGATCATATTGGAGATATCAAAGGAGTTTCGATATGACCACGAGCGATAAAGGAACAAGGAAATGACTACATTGGAGATATCAAAGGAGCTGATGCGACCATCGAGCGATAAATGAACAAGGAAATGACCACATTGGAGATATCAAATATTTTGATATGACCATCGAGCGGATAAATGAATAATGAAATGACTACATTGAGAGATATCAGATTCGATATGATATGATCGAGCGATAAATGAAAAGGAAATGACCACATTGGAGATAATAAAGGAGCTCGATATGACCATCGAGGATAAAGGAATAAGGAAATGACCACATTGATAAATCAAAGAGTTTCGATATGACCATCGAGCGATAAATAAGGAATGGAGGAGATAATAAAGAAATTGATATGACCATTGAGGATAAATGAGGAAATGAATAAATCAGGAGTTTCGATATGACCATCGAGCGATAAACGAATAAGGAAAATGATCACATTGGAGATATCAAAGGATATGACCATCGAGCGACAAATGAATAGGAAATGACCACATTGGAGATATATCAAAGAGTTTCGATATGAGCGACAAGGAATAAGGAAATGCGAGATAAAAAGAGAATAAGGAAAAATGACTGACCGTTGGAGATGAATAAAGGAGTTTCGATATGATCTGACGAGCGATAAATGAATAAGAAATGACTACATTGGATATATTAAAGGAGTTTGATATTCATGGAGTGATAAATGAATAAGAAATGACTACTTGAGATATAAATGGAGCTCTGATAACCATCGAGCGATAAAGGAATAAAAGAAATGACTACATAGGAGATATCAAAGAGTTTACACCATCGAGATAAATGAACAAGGAAGTCGGAGGAGATAAATATGACCCATCGAGCGATAAGGAAATGACTACATTTGGAGATATCAATGAGCTCATAGGACCATCGAGCGATAAATGAAGGGAACACTACCTTGAGAAACAGTTCTGATATTGAGATAAATGAAAGGAAATTGATATGGAGACATTAAAGAGCGATAAAGCGGAGAATGAAAGTAAATGACTATTGAGATATCAAAAGGAGTTTGAGATATGACCATCGAGCGATAAAGGAATAACAACTAAAATGACATCGAGCGATAAATGGGAGGATATCAACATTGAGATTCGATTGATAGACCATCGAGCGATAAATGAAAAGAGAAATGACCACATTGAGATATCAAAGAGTTTGATACCATCGAGCGACAAAGGAACAAAGGAAACACGACACACTGAAGATATCAAAAGAGTTTCGATATGACCATCGAGCGATAAAATGAATAAGGAAATGACTACATTGAAGATATTCAAAAGGAGTTTTGATATGACCATCGAGCGCGAAAGGAATATGAAATGATCATATTGGAGATATCAATGGAGCTTGATATTAATTCATCGAGCGATAAATGAATAGGAAATGAATACATTGGAGATATCAAAGGAGTTTCGATATGACCATCGAGCGATAAAGGAATAAGGAAATGATAACATTGAGATATCAAGAGTTTTGATATGAACAATCGAGCGATAAAGGAATAGAATGACCAGCATTAAGAGACAAAGTTTCGATATGCCCATCGAGCGATAAATGAATAAGAAAATGACTACATTGGAGATATCAAAGAGTTTGATAGACCATCGAGCGATAAATGAATAAGGAAATGACTACATTGGAGATATTAAAAGGAGTTTGATATGACCATAGAGCGATAAAGGAATAAGGAAATGACTACATTGAGGATATTAAAGGAGTTTCGATATGACCATCGAGCGATAAATGAATAAGGAAATGATTATATTGGAGATATCAAAGGAAGTTTCGATATGACCACGGGAGATAAATGAATAAGGAAATGACTACATTGGAGATATCAAATGAGTTTGATATGACCGAGCGAGTGATAAAAATAAGGAAATGACTACATTGTAGATATATCAAGGAAAGCTCTTGGACCATCGAGCGATAAATGAATAAGGAAATGACTACATTGACATAATGGTTTGATACATTATCGAGCGACAATGTGATTGGAGATATCAAAGAGTTTGATAATGACCATCGAGCGATAAAGGAATAAGGGAAATGACTACATTGGAGATATCAAAGGAGTTTGATATAACTATTGAGTGATAAATGAATACAGAAAATGACCATTGGAAATTATCAAAGGAATTTCGATATGACCATTGAGCGATAAATGTGTAGGAAATGACTACATTGGAGATATCAAAGGAGTTTCGATAAGACCATCGAGCGATAAAGGAATAATGAAAATGACTATGATTGAGATATCAAAGGAGTTTCGATATGACCATCGAGCGATAAAATGAATAAGGAAATGACTACATTGGAGATATCAAAGAGTTTTTGATATGAATTCATTGAAATGATAAATGAATAAGGAAATGACTATTGGATATATCAAAGGAGTTTGATACATCCATCGAGCGATAAAGGAATAAGGAAATGACTACATTGAGATATCAAAGGAGTTTATATAATATCGAGTGATAAAAGAAGGAAATGACTACATTGGGAGATATCAAAGGAGTTTCGATATGACCATCGGAGCGATAAACAAGGAGGAAAGTCGATCAGCATTGGAGATATCAGCGAGTTTCTGATATGACTATCGAGTTGATAAAGGAATAAGAAATGATCATATTGAGATAATAAAAGTAGTTTCGATAAGGACCATCGAGCGATAAAGGAACAAGAAATGACTACATTGAGATATCAAAGGAGTTTCGATATGAATTCATCGAGCGATAAATGAATAATGAATGACTACATTGGAGATATCAAAGGATTTTCTGAGTGACTATCGAGCGATAAATGAATAAGAAATGACCATATTGAGATATCAGTGAGTTTGATATGACCATCGAGCGATAAAGGAAATGCGAAAATGACTACATTGAGAGGTATCAAAGGAGTTTCGATATGACCATCGAGCGATAAATGAATAAGGAAATGAGATATCAAAGAGTTTGATATGACCATCGAGATAAAAAGAAAAGGAAAATTTTCGATATGAGTTTGACCATCGAGCGATAAAATGAATAAGGAAATGACTACATTGGAGATATCAAAGGAGTTTGATATGACCATCGAGCGATAAATGAATAAGGAAATGACTACATTGGAGATATCAAAGGAGTTTCGATATGACCATCGAGCGATAAATGAACAAGGAAATGACTACATTGGAGATATCAAAGGAGTTTCGATATGACCATCGAGCGATAAATGAATAAGGAAATGACTACATGGAGATATCAAAGAGTTTGATATGACCATCGAGCGATAAAGAATAAGGAAATGACTACATTGGAGATATCAAAGGAGTTTCGATATGACCATCGAGCGATAAATGAATAAGGAAATGACTACATTGAGATATCAAAGGAGTTTCGATATGACCATCGAGCGATAAATGAATAAGGAAATGACTACATTGGAGATATCAAAGGAGCTTCGATATGACCATCGAGCGATAAATGAATAAGGAAATGACTACATTGAGATATCAAAGGAGTTTCTGATAACCATCGAGCGATAAAGGAATAAGGAAATGACTACATTGGAGATATCAAAGGAGTTTCTGATATGACCATCGAGCGATAAATGAACAAGGAAATGACTACATTGAGATATCAAAGGAGTTTCGATATGACCATCGAGCGATAAATGAATAAGAAATGACTACATTGAGATATCAAAGGAGTTTCCATCGATAAATGACCATCGAGCGATAAATGAATAAGGAAATGACTACATTGGAGATATCAAAGGAGTTTCGATATGACCATCGACCATTGGAGATATCAAAGGAGTTTCGATAAATGAATAAATGAATAAAAATGACTACATTGGAGATATCAAAGGAGTTTCGATATGACCATCGAGCGATAAAGGAATAAGGAAAATGACTACATTGGAGATATCAAAGGAGTTTCGATATGACCACTGAGCGATAAATGAATAAGGAAATGACTACATTGAGATATCAAAGGAGTTTCGATATGACCATCGAGCGATAAAATGAATAAGGAAATGACTACATTGGAGATATCAAAGATATCAAAGGAGTTTCGATATGACCATACGAGCGATAAATGAATAAGGAAATGACTACATTGAGATATCAAAGGAGTTTGATATGACCATCGAGCGATAAATGAAAATGAAGGAAAAAGGAGTGATATGACCATAGCGATAAATGGAGAAATACTACATTGAGATATCAAAGGAGTTTCGATATGACCATCGAGCGATAAATGAATAAGGAAATGACTACATTGGAGATATCAAAGAGTTTCGATATGACCATCGAGCGATAAAGGAATAAGGAAATGACTACATTGAGATATCAAAGGAGTTTCGATATGACCATCGAGCGATAAATGAATAAGGAAATGACTACATTGGAGATATCAAAGGAGTTTCGATATGACCATCGAGCGATAAATGAATAAGGAAAATGACTACATTGGAGATATCAAAGGAGTTTGATATGACCATCGAGCGATAAATGAATAAGGAAATGACTACATTGGAGATATCAAAGGAGTTTCGATATGACCATCGAGCGATAAAGGAATAAGGAAATGACTACATTGAGATATCAAAGGAGTTTCGATATTGGATAAAAATAAGAATATGACGAGCGATAAATGAATAAAAATGACTACATTGGAGATATCAAAGGAGTTTGATATGACCATCGAGCGATAAATGAATAAGGAAATGACTACATTGAGATATCAAAGGAGTTTCGATATGACCATCGAGCGATAAATGAATAAGGAAATGACTACATTGGAGATATCAAAGGAGTTTCTGATATGACCATCGAGCGATAAATGAATAAGGAAATGACTACATTGGAGATATCAAAGGAGTTTCGATATGACCATCGAGCGATAAATGAATAAGGAAATGACTACATTGGAGATATCAAAGGAAATGTTTTGAGATATCGATATGACCATCGAGCGATAAATGAATAAGGAAATGACTACATTGGAGATATCAAAGGAGTTTCGATATGACCATCGAGCGATAAATGAATAAGGAAATGACTACATTGGAGATATCAAAGGAGTTTTGATATGACCATCGAGCGATAAATGAATACTAGGAAATGACTAAGGAGTTTCTGAGATATCAAAGGAAATGACTTTGATATGACCATCGAGCGATAAATGAATAAGGAAATGACTACATTGGAGATATCAAAGGAGTTTCGATATGACCATCGAGCGATAAATGAACAAGGAAATGACTACATTGAGATATCAAAGGAGTTTCGATATGACCATCGAGCGATAAATGAATAAGGAAATGACTACATTGGAGATATCAAAGGAGTTTGATATGACCATGACCGATAAATGAGCGATAAAGATATCAAAGGAGTTTCGATGACCATGAGCGAAAAGGAATAATGAAATGACTACATTGGAGATATCAAAGGAGTTTCGATATGACCATCGAGCGATAAATGGAATAAGGAAATGACTACATTGGAGATATCAAAGGAGTTTCGATATGACTATCAAGCGATAAATGAATAAGGAAATGACTACATTGGAGATATCAAAGGAGTTTCGATATGACCATCGAGCGATAAATGAATAAGGAAATGACTACATTGGAGATATCAAAGGAGTTTCGATATGACCATCGAGCGATAAAGGAATAAGGAATGACTAATGGAGATATCAAAGGAGTTTCGATATGACCATCGAGCGATAAATGAATAAGGAAATGACTACATTGGAGATATCAAAGGAGTTTCGATATGACCATCGAGCGATAAATGATAAAGGAAATGACTACTGAGATATCAAAGGAGTTTGATATGACTAGCGATAAATGGAAATGACTACAT